TTATCAATTGTATTGGTTCTTAATTTTATAATTTTCTTAATTTAATATCTACAATTTTAAATACATATAAGATTATTAATATAATAACAAATATTATTAAAATTCAAATTCAAATATTTAATAAATCAAATTATATAATTTTATATCTAATTTATTTACTTTAAATTATAAATATTTATAATTAATTTAATCTATTAAATATTTAAATTTATTTTAAATTTTAAAATTCAAGTTCAATTCAGCCAAATTTAAATTCAAATATAACATATTCGCATGTTTATCCCCCGGGCTGCGTTTTGCTTGCTCATTTTGGGTGAAAGAAAAAAAATGAAAAGAAATGCACCAGTCAATTGACCTCCGTTTGGTATTAACAATTACAGCACGAAGGAAAGGATTCGGATTGATTGAAAATCTATGGGCCCCGCGTTTTTGGCATCCGTCCCACAAGTGACGGATTGGGAGGGAAGGAAACTAGGCCATGGCTCGCTGCTGCACTGAACGCGTATGCTTGCTGCACCAACTGCACTCACCGTTAAAGATGGACTGACAACGGCGAAAAGAACTGACGGCGACATCCAGTGGAAAGATCTGCTTTCTTCTCGTTCTCCTTCTGCGCTGGCGTCTTTGTTGGCTCTGCCCATCAGCGTGTCAACTAGAAGCTTGCATGGACCGGCAACTCGCATCTCTCGCCCCGCTTTGCCCTCTCCTAGTTTGCTGACGTCCGCGTGGAGTACGTGTACTAGCGTTTCGACTGGAAGCTTACACCAAGTAGACACCGGCAAATAATGGAAGTTGCAATCATGCACAATGGAGGGTGTGGATTGCTCTGTGACTGTGATTAAAATTTACGGGATTTGCAAGTTGGGCCTTCAATATTTTTCCCCTTTTCAATTTCGTCCCATGTTCTCAAATTTCAAATCAGGTTTTGAATTTTGAATTTCTTCATCTAAAACCTTTTTAAAAACCCTTAAATTTTAATTTCATTTAATTGAATCCTTGCAATATTTATTTCCAAGCATTTCCTTTCTTTTTCAGGATGGAACCAAATAAAGCGCAAGGCATATCCTTTCTCTTTCATTAAATGATACCAAACAAAGGAAGAAAAGTATTCATTCTCTTTATTTCCTTTCATTTCTTTTCTTTTTTCAGATAACATCCCTTCTTTTCCTTTTCACACTAAATACCAAACACAATCTAAGTGTTTTGTAGGTATAATTTTTGAACTTTTTATATTTTAAATATCTAAAATTATGCAAATAATTAGTTTTTCTTCGTTCTAAACCCTGAGGTATTAAATTTTAAGAATATAAAATGTTTAACTTTAAATTATTTTTAAATTTTCTTTTTTTCATTAGAAAAAATTTTAATTTAAAGAGGTTTATCCTAATAAATACCTCTTACCATATTTATTTTACGGAATCAGTAACAATTCAAGTAATAAAATACCATTGTCAAATTTTTCTTTGGTTAACTACAATTATCAAGATGGTGACATGACAAGATTCTAAAAAAGGCCGGAAAAAAAAGTAGTAGGCCCCATTCGAGTTGAGAAACAGCGATGGCACCACTGCCGCAACGGTATTTAAAAAAAAAAAAAATTAAGTTTTGTTTTGTTTTCGAAATTATAAAGTTTATAAATGACATATTTTATAATCAAAATATGTATTTAGTTTCGATAATTCAACTAACATTTTTTTTGCTTGTTTATTTATTTATTTTTTGTATTCAGTTTCATTTTTGAAACCCAAAATAAACTTTTTTTTTTTACTTTTTTTTTAAATTGAAAATGAATGTTGACAAATTTTAAAAACAACCTTTTCGTTATATCCTAAGCATTATTCATTAAATAATTTTCAAGAACAATTAGACAAGAAAGAAGGTTCCTGCACAAGCTTTCATATAAAATCTCAAAGTTTTTAATAAAATATAAATGATTTACCTCCCCATTCAATCCTAATATCCACGTGTCAATGCTGAGTCAGTGGTCATTAAATACAAAACATTTTAATTTCCGGTAAGAAACCAAGGTTAAATTAAAGAAGGGTGAATCAGCAATTTTGTTGAAAACATAAGCTTCTTATCATGCTTTTGTTGACCCAAGTAAGAATGTAATCAATTTATTTTGTTGAGTTTTGTAGTTTGTTTAGTTTTGTTCGTATGTCAATTTCAAATTGATTTGAAAACTATTTCAATCCCCCAAATCAAATTTTGCCACAGGGAAATAGTGAAATTTCCTTTTTTTTTTTGGAGTGTAATTGTTAGTCTTCCTAAAATATATATATTTTTTTATTACAAGTTAAGCCGAGACCCAAAGGAAAAAAAAATTAAATAATGAAACTTTAGAGAGTACAAACTCTCATTAAACAATACAGAGAGTCTTCCTAACTTGACAGAGGAGAGGACTTACTTATTTATGCCAAACTCTTGGGATAAACTCAATTTAACTAAACAATTTCACAATCATCTACTTTTTTAAAAATATATTTAATCTCGACTTATCATTCTTATTTTGTAAAGAATCTAATTCTGAATATAATAAGAACATAGATGATATTACTTGACTAATTTTCCTTAATCATATTGACAAGTGACTTTAAGTCTATCTTCAAGAAAATCATCGTGAAACCCAAGTTCTAAACTATTTTTAAACCCTCCAAAACTCTTCAGCCCTTAGCTGAGACCGCCTGCACACTTTCAATAAATCTGGCAAAGCCACTGATCCAAACCGCCCTATGATTTCAGAGGAGACAAAATATGTACTTTACTGTGGAAAAGATTTTAACCGGACAGTCCGAATGAAATCTAATTAAGCCTCTTTTCTGATCCATTTACCACTAAATAGCATACTGGGTTGTAATATTTTTATTGAGAAATGGGCCTAGGCCCAAAGTGGCCCAGCCAATAAATTCCCATCTGAGTAATGTAACACGCGACTCTCTGAAATGAAGTATTATTTATTCAGAATCTGACTTTTGGGATGCTAAACATTGGATAATCCGAATTGGTCAGGGGAGATGGGGGAGTAAGAGACATTGGCTGGGAATAAAACATATTCTTTTCTTTTTGGAAAATTAAGTAAATTTTGTTTTCTTTTTTAACTCTCGAAAGACAAAAAGATTATTAATCACGGATTTAATCGAAACGTAATTGAAACTAATAAACATAAGACCCTACGTAAATGGAAGACTTGTGTTGTCCAAAAAAAAAAAAAATTATGTTATTCTAACGTCACACTAGTTTCATTTGAGCAGTTTAGTTGGATTGCCAAACAAAAGCACTTGAATCCGAACGTTTTTGATGCGCTTCCAAGGACTTTGTCAATGGGCGCATGTGCCAACGGTACCAACAAAATGATGATAAATTTGAAAATTTGAATCATGATAGTGTTCTCCCGTTGTACTCGTAAAAATTCTGCTCGTTGTACCACGTGTTAAAGTCTAAAACTGCTGGCTTTCTTTCTTTCAAGTGAAGAAAAGAATAGGACTCATTAAATCAATCAAAAATAGAATCTTTGTATCACACCCAAATGGGTAAATGATTAAATCACCACCCTTCTTTTTTTCTTTCATAGAATTAAAAAAATTATTACATTTGTCCACATTTTTGTTATAGATTTTATTAAACTTTATCTTCTTGTTTTTAAATTTTAGGTTAGGCATTTCAATTCAAATAGTTTGCAAGATAGAGATTGTAATAAAAATAAGAATATTGCCTACTCTAATAAATGTATCTTTTAAAAAAAGTAATAATAATTCTGTAATAAGTGATATAAGAGACGATATTGAGAAATTAATCAGGTGATGGCATGACATTTTAAGTGCCTTCGAAAGAGGTAGACAAGGTGTTAAGAAGTTGTAGACTCCACCTTGATGAGAGTGTTAAAGGTGTAACAAAGAAGTGTCTTATGAATCTCATATCAGAGAGAATGAATAAAAATACTAAGTTCATATCGGAGAGAATGAATAAAAATACTAAGTTAAGCTTATAAACGAGGGTACCGCATAACCTAATAAAAATATATATTTAGAGAGAATGTAATAACCATGTGACACTTGAACTTGTTTATATTTTACTTTTGTTATTTGTTAAATCAAAATCTCAATTTACTTTCTATGTTACTCTCATATTTTAGTATTATAGTTTTATTTTAGTTTTTTAATAGTATAAAAATTATATTTTGTAATTTTTTATTTGCACAAAGAATTAAATTTTAGTGAAAACTATTTTTGAAGCTGATTTTTTTTAAAAATACTTTTGGATTTTGTCAACTTTTTCTTTAAACAATCACCCTTTTAAATATGTACTAAGTGTGCCATCACCCTAAACATTAACTTTTCTGCTTCTACAATTGCTATAGCTATACACCTTGTTTCAAAATGATTTGAAAATTTGGACATTTCTGATTAGCCGCTGTCTTTTAGGATTGAGCAAATGGAAAGTATGATTGCCCTGAAACTAGGGTTTAATCAACCTAATGGCAACAAAGACAAGAAGAACATATTTGTCAACCAATAATGCTAGGGGCCGTGCCACTTTATTGCCTGTCATCATTTTTGTTTGAAGAACTTTTGATCATAGAACCAGACCGATCCATTGAATATTAGTCTAGATCCAGATCCAGATCCATTTAGGACTCTGTGGCTCTGAACTAACAGGAAGAAGGAATCTTTAGTGACCAAATATAAGACATTAAATGAAAATATCAGATAAAAACTTAAGGAAAAATTTACCAAAATGAAATGAATATTATAAATTTAAAAATTTATGTCTACTTTATGCTAAGTATGTCATGTAAATTTATCACATCAATCCACATCTACAAACTTATATAGGAGCAAAATGCAAACTACAGAATACATCTATTATCTATAACACAACTCATGCCGTTTACCATACATGCAAAAGGGACAGAGAGAGAGATGTGTCTATGGACAAGAAAATTTGGACATGATACATAGAAAGAAAAAGGGAAATCAGCAATCACCTTGACTGGTTATGCATCATCTCTTCCAACTTCGACTCCTCGAGAATGGATCTTTCAGACCACCCACAACGCAAGTCTCCTTGGCAATACCGCATGCAAGCTTGTCAAAATCATTCTCCTCTCTCATCAAAGATGCCAAGCTTTTTCTCCTTTTCCCTTCTTTTACTTTGAGATTGTCTTTTTTGTCCTCTCCCTTTTTATGTTCATCTTCAATTTCTGCTTTTTCTTCTTCTTCTGCTTCCTGTACTTTTGCCCAGCTTTTGGCCGGAGCCGACCTACAACGCATGAGCAACAGAGCATTTGGTGGAGGAAGAACAGAGCTCTCTCTCTCTTTACCTATTTCTTTTTTGTATTTGCTCTGTTCTTCTTGTAGAACCATGAACCATTTGGAGAATACAGTAGAACCCGCTTTTTCATTTTTTCCATAATCTTCATTTTCTTTCTCCTCCTGATCATCTTCTTCTACGTCAGAGGCTAAGTCTGTGGTGGGAAAGGACCCGAAGCACCGAAAATCAAATCTAATCCTCCGTAAACAAGACAAGAACTGCATGACCGATGTAGTGGCTCTTCTTCATGCTTAATTTTGTTGTTGTGGAGTCTCTCTATCTCCTCCATGACCGATTGCCATGTTTTTGCAGGCCCCGGTTTGGGCCGGACCCGAATCTGACCTGCGCAGGTGACCCGTGGCGATGTCGGCTCGGAGATCTCCCGTTCTGCAGGTTTGGGTTGGGCCCACAAGAGAGGACTGGCTTGGCGGCGGTACGGCCGGCGACGGTGATGGTGATGGTGCTGGTGCTTGTTTTGGTCTCAACTGGCCTTGATGGGCTGCAAACGGGCTTGGGCTTGAGGGTGAGGTGGGCCCTGGAAGGGAAGCAGACTAAGATGTCTGCTGAATTGGGAGGAGCTTTCCACTCTCTGCCTGCCATGGTTGCTTTCTCCTCCTCCTCCTCCTCTTCCTCCTCCTCCTCTTCTCTCCCCTTCTCTCTCTGTTCTCGGGATCTCCAGGCTTTGGAGTGTGTTTGCGGGTTGGCTTTTGAAAAGAGACGGAGGGACGTGGCAGCGAAATGACAGCTTTCCTCTCTTTCTTTGCATTTATCTTAATCTTCACCAACTGTCCCCCCCGGCCCCCTTTTTTCGGGTTCTGAATCTCCTCTTCGCTTCCTTTGACATGGGGTCGCAGGGGCTCGCTAGTGCTTCTTTCTTGGGCTTTACTTTTCATATATGCTGTCAAACATAAGCTAGCTAGAGCTTCTTTCTTCGGCTTTACTTTTCACAAATGCTTGTCAAACATACTAACCTAGAGGGCTGTTTGGTAGTCTCGAATTATATTTTGGTTTAAAATTAAAAACAAAAAAAAAAAAAAAAAACACTTTGATAAGTTGAAAAGAAATAATGAAAGGGAAAGTTGATTCCCACGAGTATCATTCCATGGTCCAATCATAGCCTCAACTATGAGCCCATTGCTTTACACAAGGCTACGATAATTCTATGATAAGGGCCATGGATTAATCTACTAGTTTGGTTGATTTAGGAGGAGACCCCTAAAATGAAAGATGGGGGTGATTCAATAGTAATAAAAGATGGAGTACACCGAAAAGTATAAGGAATTTGAAGGATGTGACTCGAAGAAAGTGAGTGTGTCATAATGAAAAAGATGGAGCAATTGAGAGCAAAATGGCCCCCTCACCACTCCGTCTTGCATTAAAACTAGACTTGGCCGTTTTTAGTTGGGACCTCCTCATGATTTCTATGGATATATTCACACCAATTTGATTCTTCTTGTGAATCAATAACAATGTGTATGACCAATAATGATATGTACTATTACTAGTAAAATGTCAAATACTTTTCATTGATTCTAACTCTTTTTATTTATGACACTTTCCACTTAATGCATATTATATAACTGAGAGTATTCAAAAGCCATATCTAACATTTTAATCAATTATTAGTTTGATCAGAGGTGGCGAATGAGCAATTTTAAACGGGAGATATAGTTAAATGAATTGAATTAGAATTTGTCTAATTACTAAATGGGTTTAACTCAGTGGCTCATAGTTGGATATGGATTAACACGCATAAAATATTTAGAAGATATTAGGTAATATGAGCTTTTACTCTTTTATGTGATATGAATTGAGATAAAGTTGAAAAAAAAAATAGAGAGACAAAATTTTAAGGAGAAAATTTGGAAAAATTTAAAGATAGAAAGTTAAAAAATTTTAAAGAGAAAAGTTTAAATAATTTAGAGATAGAAAGTTTTAGAGAATATTGAAAAATTTTAGAAAGAAAATGTTAAAAAATAAAGAGAAAACTGAAAAAATTAAAGAAAAAAGATTTCATAGATAGAGAGAGAGAGAGTTAAAAAGAAAATAAAGTCAATTTCGGCCACCATATTTTTATATTTGAAAGTAAACACCGCTACTCCATATTTATGTCCGGATTAATAAATAATTTATTGACCAATTGGTTACACGTTAAAACTCAACTATTAAATGGATTAAGTTAGGCTAGCCCATTTAAACAAATTTAAATATTTGGAGGGGTTAGAGCCGGGTTGAATATTAATAAATTTGGGACGAATTAATGTGTTTGGATTGAAATTGCCTGTCCTAAGTCTATTATCCATTATTTCATGTAACCTTTGATTTGTATTTTTATTTAATCTATATTGCTCATGATAATGTTGAACCAGTATAATTTTTGTATCTTGAGGTTGAAATGGATGTATCATCCTAAAGTTTAAGAAAGAGCAAGCCAATGCAGGTTCGACATTTGAGTCCCTCAAACTGTGGTCCAAACTTGTCATGTTACTTAGAATTAGGGTCATGGGTCATGAACCCCCTAAATCATGGTTGCAGAGAGAAGAACCTAATCACCTATTTATACCTTATCTAACATAAGATCTTTTAGTTAAATTTACATTGTACCCAAAATAGTGTCCTAAATAAACATATCACAAAGTATAGTTGATCTTAACATGCATTTTTTTCTAGATTCATATATATGGATCCAATTTTTATAAAACAAATTATACAATTAATATTAACTTACTTAAGACATTACAAAATATATATGCCTTCAATTAAACAAATTAAGTAAACAATAATAATTGACCAAATCTCATCTAATCTATTTTGTTTCTATAAATTAGTTAGACAATTTATGTAAGATTGTAAAAAAAAAAAAAAACCGTAAGTTTAAAATATATTTAATCTAAATTATAACCTAAACTACAGAAGTAAATTTAGGGAGGAATTGAGACGCATAGAATAATCTAGGGTCCACACACATAAACACATACACCAATCTATCCAAGGAGAGGAGTGACAGAAAAGGGATCTTCACTAGAGCTAGCTTTGCCTTTATTTTTTGGCTATCGAGCTTCACGGGAAAGCTTAAGAAGCACGTGGGCCGAACAAGGGAAATCCTATAGTTGTTTGGTAGGGTAAAAAATGAAATTTAATGTGAAATAGAAGGGGCATCATGATAGTTGGATTATTCGTGTTCTATTATAAATATTGCCCATGCAATTGAGACATGTAAACTATACGGAAGAAGAACTTAGAAGTGAGAAATTTTGTGGTTTACAAAGCTTTAATTTTGAAGGGAAAGGGAAAGGAAAAAAAAAAAGAAAAGAAAGACGATCGCTTTCCTATTTTCGTTTTTGGTAACAGATCCCTTTCCTATCTTGAGGTAGAGAAAATATACTATTACTACTAGTACTGTTATTTTGCTACTGGGTGCTGGGGTTCTATGAAGGGAAAGAAAATGTAAGAGACAAAACAAGAGGAGTGGCAAATTTACATGCTATTCCTCCCCCACATTCTGAGTTAGATTGCCCATTTGGCTGTTGCAAGGGAGTGGCAAATTTAGTGTATGTAGTGTCTATAGGCTTATTCGTGATTCGCTCCAATCATATAGGAGAGAGATTTGGCTTAAGATCTAAATACTCGAGTTCCTGAACGAATTTGTTCTTCATTTGAATAGTTTATTACGGGAAACTCAACATAAATGAGAAGAGGATGAGATGGAGCAGTTGTAACCAGAGTACAAAGAGTGTCGTTGAGCAACAGAGCTTATATCTTATATTCTTAGAGATTGCCTTATGGCAATTGAAGTTTGAAGAAGGATGATTCCTTCAGTCCCAGTCCTAAGGGCCAACTTGTTTATACTCGAGTTCTAGTAGAAACGGCAAAGGGGAGGGGTCTAGAATGGGTCATATAATACCTAAACCTATCCCCACACTAAAAAAGAAATCTAAGCTCAAATCTAGACCCGTGCATGTTTGTAATTCAATTCTTGTACCAAGATATATCAAATACCCATTCACTTGAATTCAGACCTAAGGACCTGAACTTAGTAATCCCTTATAAATAATTCTTATAATTCAAAAGATGTAAACATTTAAAATAAGTAGAAAAATCTAAGTATGTGGTAAATATATATATTGATTAAATTGTAAATTAAAAATTACATATTTTATATAAAAAGTATATGTAATTTATATATAGTTATATTGTAATATGTGAGTTTGAAATAGAGTGGGTGCTGTAATATCTAAACTTAGAGCTAGACCTGCACATATAATCATTTAATTATTCAAAACTGAACTCAAACCATTTAGTGATATCCAACTTACACCTATCCAGGTAATTTTTCTACGGATCTAATGCCATCCCCTAGTTCAGGAGTTGACATAAACTATTCTCAAGGGCAAGAGTGAAGTGTTCCCTAATAAACTTGCAA